CCCCCCCCCCCCCCCCCCCCTCATTTTCACTTCGTTCCCCTCCCTTATCCGGTTCCACTTGTCAGTGCTTTTTGATTTGATGAAAAAATATGAAAAATTATAGTTTCTAATGAGAATTTGGCCGCAATCTTCCTCCCGAGCACATGGTGACTGCACAGTAGTTGATTGACGTCGAGAGGCCTAAGTTAGGGAAGGACCACCAGGGTACTGCTAATCAGTAAGTAATCAGTCCCCGCCTAAACAATGACTACAGTCGATAACAATCTACAGAAAAGATACCTACTAGCTATAAAAAATACAAATAACTATAAAAAATAAGTTAGTTATGGTTATAGTTAGTTAGTTAATAAAATTGGTTACATTACAATGGAGCCCTAAGCAACCTAAAAACTACCTAACGCCCACACCAAGAAAATCACACCTGTGTATCTTAAAAAATAATCCTTCGGCGGCTTCTGCATCCGCTTGCTGTCCACGTAACGCTCATCCTGCAAAAATAGTCAATTAGGGTAGGAAAAGGAAGAAAGAAATCGAATGAACACACTTTTCCACATCACGCTGGCTTTATAAGGTCGATCCACGCCGCTATCTTCACCGGGAGCAGCCCTCTTTCTTCTCCGAAGAATTCGCAGAAGGTTAGAACCGTATCGAATTTGATGTCCACATTATGACATAGATGGTTCCTCCATGTATGGTCGACTCCACAACTGGTTCGCGTCCATCCAATCGCTCTACGGTTGATCGAATATGGGCAGCGTGCCGTTCCAGAAAATCGCTAGTTAGGTAGACGACAAATGAACGGCAGCTGCCTTGTAGAAAGCCGAGCCTACCTGAATTGCCTGTTTAAGCTAATATACACAGCAAAAGATGACAAGCAGTGCATACCCCTGATCCCCGATCGGATCGCCTATTAGCAGGATAGGTGGCTCCTGACTGCTTCCGGCTAAACGTTCGGGACCTGAACTTGTAGGTTTAGTGGTGAAGAACGAGCTAATGCGGTGATGGAAATGGACATTCGTACCGAGACATTTTCGCGGCGAACCAGTCTCAGGTCCCGTGCACTTTTGAGTAATCTCATATGCACCCAAGTTCCTAAAACTTTTCTCCATTGGGTTTGACACTTGCTCTGTATGATGGCAAAGTAGTCTGGACCAGAAATGGGCCGGTTTCGATAAGTACGGCGTCAACCTGAATTGAAAGCCATTACTGTAGACATCAAAGAAGGCGTTTGATTATGGTGTACCTTCGATCCTCGGTTGGATCGCCTTACGCGAAAGCTGTTCCTACAGGTCGACCCGTCACAGTAGTCCTCAACATATCCCGATGGACGGTAGACGAAAGGCTTCACGTTTGGGTTACCGGATCCATTTCGAGACTCCATAAAAAGAATAGGCCCGCTTCAATGAGGACGGCATCAACCTGAATTGAGAGCCATGAAAATCTAGAGGTAAGAAAGTTCTTCAGCTGTCACGTACCATCGATCCCCGTTCGGATCGCCTTACAACAGATTGTTCTAATAGGTCGATCCGTCCTCAACGTCTTCTCCGTAACCATGGCTGCTGCTAGACGAAAGGCTTCACAATCAGTTTGACCGGTGTACGTTGGTGTCGCAGAATTCTGTAGAGAAGGAATGGGCCTGGGTCATTGAGGACGTTGTCAACCTGAACTGAAAGCCGTAACAAAGACCCTTGAAAGGCGTCCAATATTGACGTACATCCGATCCCCGTTTGGATCGCTCTACAACGGAATCGTTGAAATATCGGGAAGACTTCCAATCTTCATCCTCACCATGCCTTGAAGTGGTTCTTGACTCGCACCGAGATGAGTCCCAATTCGCACCATATCCATACCATATCTGCAAAGACGAGAGCGAAAGGCGAACCTGATGTTGACTCAGGGTCATGCGATGCGGTGAACTACTGGCTCGTGTACTCCTTCATTCATATTCTCGCTAGCGTTAATCCCGTGCCGTCGCAAGATCCGCTATTCTGTCAGTAGTCTCCTCTCCAGTCAGACTTCTTTCTGTCTATGGCATCTTCTACCCTTACTTCAGTTTAGGTGAGGTCCTATCAATCACGTCTCGCCACCTCTTCTTTGGGGCTTCCTCCAGCGCTCCCCTTGAGCCTCGAACTCCATTGCCTCCATTATAAACCACTGCTGATGCTATACGAGACCATTTCCGGTGGTGTAGAAATCTATCAATTCCATTACAGATCACTTGAGAACCCTTAACGTATTACAGGAACATGAAAAGAGGATGACATGTAACAGAATTCGTCCGTTTTTTCTGTATATAATTCCTCGGTTTCGCACTTTGGTACTATTTCATTGGTTGGAAGCTCCATCTCATCTCAGTAGAGCTGCAAACCTTGCCCTTCACGCCATACTCCTGCCGAAATTAGCCTATTCACAAGATGCATCGCCACACTGTTCACAGGACTTTGAAGCGAGGCATTTTTCATGATGTTCTCGTGGAGGTCGTCCAACCTTGACAGCCTCTAATGACTTGTGAGAAGTAGTCAGAATCCGAATCCACCGCAACCCACACGGAGAGAATCGCAAATGATGCGCATCTGAAGATCCTCTTCAACTTTTCTCAACTGAGCATATATCCAAAAACTTTTCACAAGTGAGATATTCAACCACCAAAACTACCGAGTTATCGTTCTCCGAATCCAGTAATCTCCAGGAAGTCCGAAGAAGCTGGTAGAGCAGAAAGGATAGTCACTCGAAGTTCGCATCCTGCATTAGCGATGGTTTGGGCAGCAGCATCCGCAGATACGTACTTCATTCATTTTCATGGAATGGGGCTGAAAATCGATGCCAATTACTATCTCGAGGAATTTTCGAAGGTCGTGGTCAACTTATTCCGAGAGCGATTGCATTTTCCAGCAAGATGGTGTATCAGTTCATTGATAGCCCTTGGTCCAGAAGTGGTGCCGTGCAATTCAGCCGACTTCATAGCATCAGAAAACTGGCCCACTCATTCCCTTGATTTGATGGAAATGGACTACTCGATTTGGTCGATCCTGGAGCAGAAGGCCTCCCTTGAAAGCAGTTCCACCGAATGTTGAAAGGTGTTCTACAGAAAGCGTTGGATGAAATCCCATGTAATGCCATCCGGGAAGCAGCCGAAGTGCATCCGTCTCGTCTCAAGGAAGTTATCAGATACAAAGGAGTGATATTGTACATTTTTGATTGTTATGATATGTGTAAGCGTTCTTGTTGTTTATACCAAATTTCGGTCAGAAACGCTGAAGATACACTGAAAATGTCTTGTCATCGTATTCGTGACCCACCCTGTATTCATGATTAGTGTAGGAAAGCTTCCTAGAGAGTAGTGCTGTACCTTGCAGAAAGATCTTCGCTCATCGCTCAGACCCTGAGTCAACTCATTCGTAATTACCATACAAAAACAAATAAAAATTGAAACTGCTTCCACACTTCTGCCGCTAAACGGATATATTGCCAAAAAAGATTGATGTTTCAAATGCAAAGATTGATGTTTTGAACGTCAAGTGAGAGGGCAGAAACGTGAAATTTGCCAAAAATAATCTTCAAATTTGCGCTTAGTGTGAAGTCCTCGTCGCCTTCGAGAATGGAAGTATTTTGGTCGGCTAGGCCGTGTCCTCTGCGGTGGTTCGTGAGCAGGTTCAATGGATGTGTGGTCCCTGCCTGGCTGAATGTCCGGTTCTCAAAGTGGGTGACTGGATGTTCCTCTGCCTGGTTCACTGCGTGGTCCTTCGCGTGAGTGGCTGCATGGTCCTCCCCTGGTTGAGTGTGTGGTCCCCCGCATGACCAAGCTCAGCCATAACCTCGTTGATGACCATCACCAGCACCAATTCTTTTTCTTCTTCTTTTCAATCCGAACACAGTCCGCGATGCTCACAGGTCCCGGCGAATGCGTCGTTCGCGGCCTGAGAACAAAATGAAATAAAGAATGAAATGTTCCAAAAAAAAACGAG